CAACCTCGATGAGGTCACAAGGACAGGAGCCACAGCCAAATACCTCCAACGAATAAGGCAAGTCCTGAGAAGTGGCAACCTCGATGAGGTCACAAGGACAGGAGCCACAGCCAAATACCTCCAACGAATAAGGCAAGTCCTGAGAAGCCAGCTCAATGGCAAGAACAAGATCCGTGCAATAAACAGCTATGCCTTACCAGTAATCAGATACCCTGCCGGAATAATTAGCTGGCCAATGGAAGAGATGAAGGCCACGGATGTTAAGACTCGGAAGCTACTAACCATGCATGGAGGGTTCCCCCCCAAATCCATCCCCCTGAGACTGTACACAAGCCGTAAGGAAGGAGGCAGAGGACTAGTGAGTGTGAGAGCCACTGTCCAGGATGAAACATCCAAGATCCATAAATACATCAAGGACAAAGCCTCAACGGACGATGTGCTCAGCGAATGTCTCAGGCAATGGGGAACAGAGGACAAGGTGCTGGAGGAACCATCATGGGAGGACAAGCCCCAACATGGGATGTACCACCGACAAATAACTGAAGTGGCTGATATCAGGAAATCCTCCCTCCTGCTGGAGAAAGCTGGACTCAAGGACAGCACAGAGGCCCTCATCCTGGCTGCACAGGAACAGGCCCTAAACACCAGAGCAATAGAAGCTCAGATCTACCACACCAGACTTCTCTTCTCCCTAAAACATCTTTAGAAAAAAGAGGTGATATTTTTATTTTATTTTTTTGCTATAGTTATTTGCAATCAAATAACTTATGATTTGAGCCATTATCTTTCCTGCTATATTTAGCTCTGAGCTAGCTTCTTCACTAAATACTTAGGTTATAAATTAAATATTTTTGCTAGCTCTTAGCTTAATATTTAACTTGCTAACTGTTTAGCTTGAAACTAACATTTATAAATGACATGATTGAAAAGTGAACCCGTTTTTTCCTTTAACCGACCATTTAACCCTAATTATAGATGCTAATATGTGACTGTAACTCCTCTGACCTGCAGGAGGCAGAAAAGGGAACAAAACGGGAACAAAACGGGAACCTCTACTACCCAAAACTCATCAACGTGACGTCATTTACCCCGGAAAACCCGGGAGTCCGCTGACAGGTGGGCCGGGTCCGTCACACCTGGACCCGACCTGAAGCTGCAGCAGCTCCTCTCCGAGACAAACAGAACCAGGACCGCAGGAATTCACCGGGTAGGCGGACAGGAATCCCGGCAGGTTTCCGCATGAATCGCCTCGGATCAGCAGCTTCTACCCGTTTCCTCCCAGCAGCTCACCTGGGCCACAGGTGAGCTTCAGCTGAAGCTTCTGGAGTTGATTTTAACCAGCAGACATCAGAAATGAGGCTGATTCAGAACCAGGCTGCTGAGCAGAACCCTCGTTTTAAAAACCCAAACATCTGAACGTTTTTAAATTTTACTCAAATTAAACCAAACTAACAGCAAACAGACTTTAACTGAAGCAGTTCCTTACCTTCTCCTCCGCCAGTTTCTGTCCAAAACCCTGAAAGTCAGGTATGTGACGTCATAGGGAGGCGGGGCTAGCAGAAAGTGGCCAGGTGAGTCTGCGGGTGGAGACACCTGCTGCACCTGTTTGCTGCTGTTTTAGTCACAGATGTGAGCGCCGACGAGTCAGGGAGGAAGGACTCATTAATGTTTTTATTCCTGCTGTTTGGAAAAAATATCCCAAAATATTTTAGGGCCTAAAATAGCGGAAAAGTATTATAAGAATATGTGTAACTAATTTAAATTTCAAAAACAAATACAATAAAAGTGACTTAGAAAAGTAGTGTTCCGTAATAATAATAAAACTAACATAAAATTGAAATAAAAAAGTAAAACGAAAGTAAGGAAAATAAAATAAACCGAGATTAGCATAAAATTAAACAAAAAACTTAAGTAAAATAAAAATTTAAATAAAAGGTAGAAAATAAATTAAATTAACCCCAAAAAATTAAGTAAAAGGAAATAAAAAAAGTACATTAAAATGATAAGAAGCAAAGTAAACTGAGCTTAATAACTAAAGATACTTTCAGGGGAAGCAAGCAGACGTGGAGCAGGACAAGATTTACACAACAAAATAAACATAAACCTGCAACAGTTTGAGAAGGTCACCTGACCTTTGACCCTTGCTGATGCCTGCTGGAGGGCAGCTCTGTGACACGGACCGGACGGACAGCATTCCTGCGGCGCGGCGCTCTGAGCATGCTCAGTGCGGTTTCTCTGATGTCACAGGCTTCTGGTCTGAAATCCGGTTTTAATGAAATGAGGAGCAGCCCGGAGGTCAGAGCCTTCGGTTACACTAAACCCGTCCAGAACCAGAACCGCAGAGCTGCAGTCAGAGGTCAGCACCGGAGCCGGTTCCGATCCGGCCCATCTTAATATTCTGTTGGTAACTAAGGATCAGAACCAGACTTTCTGAATTTATAGTTACACTTCTGAGGTTCAAAGTTACATTTTATCGTTTGTGTGATTTGTAATTGTGTGGATTTGTTTAGCATTTTTAATTTCTTTATCGGTGTGTGCATTTAAAAACATTTCAGTTCCTGAAGTCAGAACGCTGATGAACCTTGACGTTCGCCCGGCTGCTTCCTGCCTCGTCTCTTCAGAGGTTTGTTTTCTGCTCCATTTCTTCCCCAGAACTTCAACCAGCTCCGATTCTTTGTGGATCATTAATGCAGACATGTGGAGTGAATTTTACATCACTGACACCGTTTCCTCTCCTGTCAGGTTCAGCAAATTAAAACATCCGTCCCAATAAAACCCATTGGTCAGTTTAAAATATCCTTCAATCAGGACATACGCGTGTCTTGAAATGTTTTATTGATGTAATATTCTAATTTAAATTTTTTTTTACAACTGGAAGTAGAAAATCATCAAAATGAACAAATCAAAGGACACTCATCCATCTGAGTGTAATCTATTTAAAGAGTTGCACCTGGTGAGTAAATTGGCGTTTCGGTGATGTTGTGATTCTCTTCAGCTGTGCTGGTTGCTCCTGTCCACTGTCGCCGCGTGCTTGCTCTGGATGAGGAAGCAGAACGCTGCCGTTTAACCAGCGTCACATTTTAGTTTAACGTTCTGCAACCGGATCAAAATCAACTGCAGACTGAATCTTCATCCGTGGTCTTCCTCTTTTCCAGGAAGAGGTCGTAAGGTCAGAGGTCACGTATGATCTGGGGAAATCTCCGAGACCCGATCAGGAGAAATCGGGTTATTCAGGGAAAATCCGAGATTTTCTGATCTAAAGTTAAAATTCTGATTAAATAATTTAAGTTTAAACATCAGGAGAGAAAAACTTCAGAATAAAGCAAAACGGGTCGACTTGGTTCTGTTAGAAAGCCTTTTATAAATCCAAACATAAAAACCAGTCGCAGAGTTCTGTTTCCTGTTGGAGCGACTGACCCAAACCCAACAGGCTTCAGGTTCTCAGGAACCATTAACAACCCGCTGTAGGTTGTCGGGTTCCAGTTGGGTTCTGGTTCCGGTCCAGAGTCTCTTCAGAAGTCCTTGTAGTGCAGCAACCTGAACACAAACAGACCCAGAGGAAGCAGCTGTTTATCGTGGACCAAACAGTAAAAATGTTTTTAAAACCTGTTTCTTCTGTCTGATACCGTTTTATTCTGTGTTTAACAGGCAGGATATTCTAATAAAGGGTTAGTGCAAACATCTACAGCTTTTCATTTTCAGCGGGTAGGATATTCAGATGAAGTGATCTTCTTGTGGCTTCGTCGCATATATAAATTGTTCCAATGCTAAGCTAACCATAACTGCTAAGCTTCCACTTCAGCCACTCAAATAATCCAATATATTTAACATTAACAACCTGCTGTAGTTTGTAAAGATGATGGTAGCAGTTTTAGACGGGCAGCATGGACAGATAGACTTAGCCATCTATCTGTGCTATGGTAGGAAAATCTGACGAGGTAGCACAGATGGTCAGAACTCCTGGCTGCCTGGAGTGCAACGTTTGAGTTTAGCGACTGGTTCGCCACGGAGCTTTTAAATCCCCCATAAGGTGCTGGTTTGGTAGGTCTCCTCACTGTCATCTCCTTGGTGCTCCAGAAGCTGCAGCTGCAGAGGAAATGCTTCAGATATTCACCGTTTGAAACCAGAAGGGCCGATTGGCTGGCTGACCTGAACAGGGGGGCGTGTCCTTTGTTGTTGGCCAATGAGAAGAAGCCACTGCGTGGCGAGAAGTCCAGGCAGCTGACCCGGTGAGTGACCTTCCTGCTGGCCACGGGGAAGTTGGAGAAGACGGTGAGGCTGGGCAGGTGGACCTGACCAGAGACAGGTGGAGGTTAGCAACAAGTGACGTCATGGCAACCGGCGTCACGGCAACCGGCGCTCACCAGCCGCACTGCTTCGTCTTCCACCCGCGAAGCGACGGCCAGGATCTCGGAGGTGGGGTTAAAGGTCAGAGATGTGGCGGAGGTCAGCAGGTTCATCACCGCTCTGAGAGGCTTCGGATTGGTCGAATTAAGACACGCTTCCTGGGAGTAGACGTTGACCACGCCCGCCTGGGAGCTGCGGCATGAAGGAGGGATCACGTGACCCGACGGTCTGGATATTACAATCTGCTCTCAGCCAACCAGAGAGCGGGTTGGAGAGTGGGCGTGGCTTACCCGCAGGCCAGGTAGCGTCCGTCCGGCGAGGCGGCGATGGCTGTCCCCTTCACGCAGCCGTCATCCATGAACCGGCTGAGGCACCGACTGCTGCGAACGTCCCACACAAACACCTCGCCTTCCTCTGCACCGGGCCGATGACATCACACAGTCACATGACCCACAGGGGGCAATGACATCACACAGAGTCCCACTCACCTGAGTTCACGAAGGCTTTGCTGCCGTCGGGACAGAAAGCCACGCCGCTGACATCACCGTTGATCTTCATGCTGCGGACGATCTCATTGGTCTAGACGGAGAGGAGAAGAAGAAGAAGCTGAGCTGATTAGTCACTGACAGAAGAAGGAGAACCAGCAGCAGGAGAAGAACCTTCAGCGTGAGCATGTGCAGGTATCCATTGGTCCCGGTCAGCAGCAGAGCGCCCCCGTCAGGACACACAGAGAAGTCCTTCACTCTGGCTTCACTCAGACCTAAAACCGACACGGAGAAGCTTTTATTGTGAAAGCTCAGCCTTGGCGGCAAGCCTTGGCGGCGGGGGGACTGACCCCTGACGGAGCGGACCGGCGCCACGCGGCCCTCCATCATGTCGTACAGGTAGAACATCTTGTTCCTCAGGCTGGTGGCGATCACCGTCTGCCCGTCCCGGCTGAACCGGGCCTGGTGGACCGGGAACCGCTCCAGGTGGACGCTCTGGATCTTCGGGTTCGTCTTCCCGTCCACCTGCAGACGAGCCGGGTTAGACTCACACGGCGACCTCTGACCCCCAAGCCGCAGGAGGCGGGCCGTACCTGGAAGAGGGAGACGGACTGGTCGAGTCCCGCCGTCATGACGACCTGCGCCGACGGGTGGAACTGGACCGAGGTGAGCCGGTCCGCCGAGGGGCGGGCGTTGTTGGCATGGAGACACTTCTTCATCTGGAGACACAGAACCGGGACCGGAATCAGAACCAGAAGGTCAGTGCGACGGTCCATTCCTCGGCGGCGGCGGAACCGTTCAGACTCACCCTCAGGACGCCGCTGGGAAGACTCTCTGAAGACGCCACGAAGTTCCCCGTCCTCCTGAGAAGGTCGTCCTCTTCTTCCTCCTCCTCCTCCTCTTCTTCATCAAGAGCTGCAGGACCACAGAGAGTCAGAACCAGAACCAGAACCAGGAGGCTAACATGGATTCACCTTTCTTCTTCTTCTTCTGGTCGCTGCTCTGCGCCCAGGATGGAGTTCCTCCCATCGACTTCTGAAACCTGAAAACAAAATTCATTTTTTTTACAACTCTGGGATGGAAAATCCTAAAGAGTCTAAGAAGCAGTCTGCAGGTGATCCACCTGGACCTGGACTCGGTCCCATGTTGTTGTCAACGGGAAACTGTCCATGCAGGCTTGTCGCAATAATCAATAAATCACATGATAAATTAATACAAACGCAATAATTTCCATTTGCCAGATTTATTTCTACCAGTGTTTTGATCTCTTTTGAAGGACAGTTTTGCTCAGTCCAACTCATTTTATTTATTTTGGATATTAAAAATGTCTCCCAGTTCCAGAGTTAAATGTTCATTAGAACTTAAAGTGTGATAAAATCTGAGAATGTGTTCTTGCATTATTATTGTTTGTTTGTAATAACTCACTGCTCCTTCATCCTCTGCTGCAGCCTCTGCTTGGACAAGACCGACTCTGCGTCTCCTTTCATCAGGTTTCTACGGTAACGGTGCTTCATGTCCACCCTGACGCAGACAGACAGACAGACGCTGTTGAATTCGTTACAGGTGGAAACAGGAAGTAAGTGTTTCATTGCTGGGACTTACTCTTCCTCCAGCTCGTCGTCTTCGTCCACCCAGGCAGCTTTCCTGGGCTGCAGCTGCTGACGAAGCTCATCCTCCCCCTCTGAGTCTTCATCCCCACCGCCCTCCTCATCCTCCAGCTGCAGGACACTGGTCTGCTCCTCTTCATTCTCCTGCAATAACACACACATTTAAAAACTCTACCTGTGTGTAGAACTATCCTTATGCTGAGGATGATGAATTATTAAGAACCTCATAAACAGCCAAGGCACTGTGAATTTTTAAACAGTGAGACAAATGTCCTTCAGTAACTGAAATTAGTAAAATGAAGTCTAGGATATGCCCTGAAGCAGCCTCCCATTAAATTAAAGAAGCAGTTAGTGACTAAAAAGTTGAGCCGAATTTTCCTGCAATGAATGACATTTTTAATAAGTTGTCACAGTTTGCTGTGAAACGTTGTTTTATTGATAAAAACGTGAGGTTCTGAAACTTTCATCATTTTCTGAATGAAGTCTGGTGACGTCACAACAGCATCAACATCAAATAAAGGTGATATTTTTACTTAACAGCTTTAAACTGTGACAATTTCTTTTTATGTCAAGAAGTTGACTTTATTATAGATTAACAAGAACTTTTAAGTAATTTTTAAACATTTGAGAGATTTAAAGTTAAATTCGCTGTTTTCTGAATAAAGTCTGGTGCTAAACATCACCTCCACCAGCCTCTCCAGCAGCTCCTCTTCCGCTCCGAACACCAGCGTCTCTAGCCGCTTCACCGAGGCGTCCTCTTCTCCCAGAACCGCCAGCCTCTTCAGGTTCTGCTGCCGCAGCTTCTCCTCTCCCTCCGGGTCGAACTTCGGAGGTCGGCTTCTCTTCTTCGCCGTTATTTTATCCTCGGTCACCGGAAGCTTGATAACGTTTTTGTCCTCCATGTCTCTCCCGCCGGCGGCACCAAAGTCCCGACAGAAACCGAAGGATTTAAGCCCCGCAGAAGAAACGAGCTGATTTCCAGGTTCTTCTCTACATGAAGCAGGTTTTATAACACATGTGGTGGAACTGTTTTTCCGCTTCACCACGATCACGTGTTTCCGGAGTCAGCCACTAAAACAAGGGGGAAATGAAACTCTGCCACCACCCGTTCAAGCAGAGAACTACATGAAGAAAACGATGTCAGTATGTGGAAACCCTTTTAACTGCTAAAGAAATTATTCACACTATGATGTTCTCGCCTTGAGTTTTCGATTTTTCAACAGCAAGACAACGACGCTCCAATAATCAAACTTCTTTCTTTTCACTTGTTTATTGAAGAGTGGCCTCTGACCACTGCCTTCACTTTGGCCATTGTAAACTGAAATAAACATAGTATTAGCTAAGGAACGCTGCAAATTAGCTATGCTTATTGAGAGCTAAAAGACAAAACAAAAAAAACATTTTGATAAATGACTTAAACATACAAATTATTCACATCACCACTACACAAAACAAAGATACAATTATTGTTATAATAATTTTTATAATTATAATAATTTTTTATCACGTTAGCTCGGTGCTCTTGGGAGCCTCTAGTGGTGTGGGGGCTTAACTTGCACTGACTTGGGCCGGCTCTGGCTGCATTTATACTCCGATACTAATTGAGCTGTGATGGAAAGTTTGAGTTTAGGGGCAACAGAGTGAAGGGGTTCAAAAACACTGAAGTTTGAGGCTGAAACGGGACAAAATGTGGAAAATTCATACGAGATATTTTGGACTTAAATGAAAATCTGGTTTAATTATGTTAAATTAAATATGAAATATCACCAAATGTAAATATTTTTTAACCATTAATGCAGCCTTCATTGTTTATTGAGAGAAACTAAAACTAAAACTTCTACATGTGTGCAAAGTAAATAATTATGTTTATAAATCTGTAGCCAGAAAAATAAATTTCACAACTTTAATTCGCAGGATTAATCAGAATCCTTTAACTGAGAGTCACATAGTCACACAGAGGGATCAGAAGCTGCTGGAGTTTATTCAGAGACCAGTTAGACCAGTTAGAGAGCATGCAGCTGGACTGGGACGGCTGCAGGACGACACCGACTTCTGCAGCCAGGGGGCGACACCGAGTTTATTCTGACACAAACAGCAAATCAGGAGATTTCTGACCCAGCATGGAAACCCGGAGAGCTGATGGCTGGCGACCCGGAACCAGCGGAACCGGACAGGAGAACGTCCTGCATGCAGAAACATCAGGCGGTTCGGGAAGAACATGGCCGGACCAAAACACACAGGAGTTGCAGTATTACAAATATATACAGAACCAGAACCGCAGGAGAAAGACCAGTTCGAGGTGAAGAAATGAAAATCAGATCTAAACTTTTATTCCTGCTGAAACCAAAAATGATCATCATTTCAATATTTTTATTAGTAAAGTCAAAGATTTGCTCCTGGGCTCAGGTTCTGGTCAGAACCGGACCAAGATCCGAATGACTCTTCGGCTTTACTCAGAACATTTCGTCTCATCCACATGATATCTGAACATCTTCAGACCTTTTCCATCATCTTATTCCAGAATTAATTTATATTAACTATTATTAATTTCTTCTAAAGGTTAGGAGATGCTGACTTCAGAACCAGAACCTTTTGGGTTCTCAGAATGACAGAAAAAACGTCCAGAATCTGAGAACCCTATCCCTACCATCACCCAGAGTCCAACTGGATCTAACCCGACCCAGTTTCTGTTCTGATCCATTTTCCAGTTTAACTTTGACAATTTTCCCAGGAAGCTTCAGCTCAGATTGATAGTGGTTCTGACCCGGTAGAACATCCAGAACCTTCTGGAACCAGCCAGGTTCTCATCCAGTCACAGGTCTGTCTCTGGAGGACTTCCTGGTTTCTGTCCAATCAGAGCACAGAGAGCAGAAAGACACGCCCACTCTCACCTCTGATTGGTCCTAGAAAAACTGGACCTGGAGGTTCTGATAAACCTGCAGCAGAATCAGAGCCATGGGAACCCAGCAGGAGGTTCTGATGCTGCCGGGTCAGAAAGAATATTTTGATATGATTTAAAATTTTCTGTGACAAAATGAGGGAATCACCATGGCAACCAGTGACATCACTTATCAGCTTCTTCTTAACCCTTCAGAACCAACAGACGGGTTCTGCAGAATTTCCTCAAAAATTTTCAAATTTTAACTTTTTTTTTTTTTTCACATTTCAAGATCAGAACCGGCTGCAGAACCCGATCAGAACCAAATGGTTTTGTTGCCCAACATGCAGCTGCAGTGAATCATGGGAAGCAGGTCCGTTTGTCCTGGTTTGGTCCATGTTGGCACTTAAAGAGGCGACCTGTTTAGGAACCGGCCCGTTTGGATGCGCAGGTCGGCGACGATGATGATGGTGGAGAATATTTACAAGTTTTTAATCCTTCATGGAGTTTGATCTGAACCCAGTTCAGATCCAGAACCCGACCCGGATCATTGATTAGTGTTTCTGTCAGTGATAATTAAAGAATCGCTTAGTTTCCTGTCATTAATAACTTCATCTTCCTCCTCCAGAACCCTCCCGGACCCGTCAGAACCCGGACCCGGCCCGGTCGGCTAACAGAACCAGCAGCGGGCCTCCTGCGGCCATCTGATCAAAATGAAAAGTGCAAACAGAAATCCAACATGTGGAGGAAGACACGCCGCTCCTCCTCTCTGGTTGGTAGATCTGTCGGACATCTCCTCAGCCAATCAGCTGCAAGTGAAGATGAGGTGGAGATGGACAAACAGGATGAAGAAGCAGGTGAGGGGGAGGAGAAGGGAGGAGCTGGAGGTTCACCTGCCGACAGGAGGAAGAGGCGGAGCTCCCCTCATCACTGAAACAGAAATAGGAAGACCCAATCAGAAGACAGCATTCAACTTTAAACTGTTAGCTGTTCCCCTGCCCAGGAGGGCTAGCTACGCTAATGCTAAACCACAAATCATAAGCATTAGTTTCGCTAAAGAGCTAATCACAAAAATTAGTTTTGCTTATGCTAAACAGCTAATCATTAACATTAGTACATTAGTAAACGGTCATCATAAACTTAAGCGTCTCTAAAGAGCTAATCCTAAAAATTTGTTTAGTTAATGTTAAAAAGCGAGTCATAAAATTACGGAAGCTCTGCTTTCCCTAAAGAGGTAATCATCAACATGAGTTAGGCTGTCAAAGCGCTAAGTATAAACATTTGTTTTGCTCACACTGAAGTGCTTATCAAAAACATTACTTACTAAACACTAAAGCATTAGTTCTGCTAATGCTAAAGTGCTAATCATTAGCATTAGTTTATCTAATGCTGAGGAGCTAAATGCAAACATTAGTTTGACTAATGCTAAGGACCTAATCAGAAAGGTCAGGCTTATAGAGTGAACCAACAGGTGATTAATGGAAGCTAAGGCTAAAGCACTAAAACAAGTTCATTAGCAGCTTAGTGGGTAATGTGTGTGTTAGCGAGGAGGCAGAGTTAGCGAAGCTGCTACCTCGGCTAGCTCTGCTCGGGTAGATCTTGGTGAAGTGCCGGTACTCGTCCGGAGGCGGGAAGTCATCCAGAGGATGGAAGGAATACTTGGACTCGAAGTCGTCTGCAGGAGGAGAGACGAGTCACGTTTTAACTTGCTAACAAGTCATTTCTAACAACATGGAGGGTCAGAAACAGCCGAGTCTCTGAGAAACAGGAAAACACAAGAGGAGCCGTCACAACCAACCAATCAGGAAGAGACTCACCAACGAAGGACCGAGGAATGGAAGAGGAGGAGGAGTGTCCGTTTCGTAGGGGAGGGGGCGGCGGGGGAGGGGCGGCGGGGGTGCGGGAGGGAGGGGGAGGAGGCTTTCCTCTGGAGGGGGGGTCTGAGGAGAGGGAAGGGCTACCGTGCGTCCTGTAGGGCGGAGGAGGCGGGGCTTCTCTGCCGGCCGCCCTCGATGACGCTGGAGCCGCAGGAGCTGAGGAGAGATTGGTTCAGGAGATCAACGACGTCCTGTGATTGGCTAAGAGCAAAAGTGGTGGATGATGATTAGGCCTGTCGCGATAAACGATAAATCAATTAATCGCATGATAAATTAAACCTATCGACCTCATTTTAGTTATCTGCTTTATGTCTCTTCCTGCCTTTTCTCTTTCTGTTGATGACACTGAATGAAAACAGGCTCATCTCCGGTGCTCTGCACTGACCCTCCCTTCCTCGTTTCCTTAGTGTAATGTCCAGCGCACACTACACGAGATGTCGGCCCATTTTCTAAACCTGAGACACATTAGCCGACAGAAATCCTAGGTACCGTTATACCTAGGCTAATGTGTGTCTCTCTGGTTCGATCGGGTTCGTCGTGCCGTGTGGTTTTCAGCCACATGGGCCCAAAGTAATGGCCACCAGTCCAGTTAACCAGTTTTAATACCAGGCATTAATCAATGCTTTACTAGAATCTACCTGTTATGAATGTGGCTAGAGTCAGCGTAAAGTCCTGACTGAATGAAAATCATTATAACCTATTTATGTCACGTTAACGAAGAACAGCTGAAACATTACCGGGTTTATCAACTGCGGTAGCAATTTGGCTCCAACTTCTCTCCTCGTCATTTCTATATTCTTTGCACGAAATGTTGAATAAATATTAATGTTGTTTCCACATATCATCTCCGATGTCCGCTGGACTTCGGGTTGCGCTGTTTCAGCTGTTTGGGATTCCCCTCGTAATTTCCCCTCAGAAAGCAGGAGGAGAATCCGCGCTTTCTGTCACATTCAGCTTTAAGCTCCCAGTCGGGGAAAACCCCTGATTTAGATCGGAGCAGTCACAACGATCTACCGTAACCCACAATACACTGCAGGATGATTGGTTACGAAATCACCAGCGACAATCTTAGATCGGCCAACGTTCTAAGATTGTCGTAAGGGGAAAATGGGGGCAAAAAATCGTGTAGTATGAACTACTGCATTAGGTAGTTGGATGTGCCCGTCTTCTCTATTTAAATCTAGTCTTTACTGAAGGGCAATACAGTATACAGACTTCATAATCTGCACTCTTTTGGTCGAATGCAGTATTTAGTTCCACTTTGGCTTTATGTTGTTTAGTTTAGTTGATCAGTTCCAGTGTTATGTGTTCTT